CAAATAATAATAATTTAATGTATTATTATAACATACTAAATAATATATTAAATAATAATAATTTGCTATATTACAATACTAAATTATGATGCACGTATGAAATTTCTCATTATTTTGCTATTTTATTATTAATCAGTGATCAACTACTTAAATAAACTCTCGAATAAGAATAATAGCAAAAACAAATTTTTTCATATACACAAACTCGTAATATACGTGTACGCAATAAAGAAAGCAAATTTCAAAAAATGTTTTCAATTTCATCATCGACTTCAATCGAAATATATCCAAACTATAGAGCAGCCACTGACACAATGGAAACTCTATCTTCTTCCAAACACATAAAAGACATTCTAACCGCGACAGCCTTCTTATAACTATAGAAAAGGAATGCAGACGAGATGCAGGGAATAAAAGCTAACGATTGTTTTCCTTCTAAACGATACACGTTGTTACACAGATATTTTACACACTACCTTATTCACAGGACAAAGTGGAACTATCGATATTATATGTATGTATTCGCACTGACAATTCCCTCACAAATCTGATTCACTTTGCACTTCGAATACACCTCAAATCACAAAACACAACTGAAGTTCGAACGATAGAAGAAAGAGAAGAAATTCCTCGCACTGTTCGATACGATTTACAAAGGTTTACTGACGTTTACCGCCACCGAATTTGGAAGAGAGGGAGAACGTAACGAACGCACCGAACTCCGAGAATAGCTATCCCCTCGTCTTCGACACCCCCACTCTCACGACCGAACTATATATATACCTACCGATCTATCTGTTTCTCTCATTATCCCTTTCCCTCTATCTCCGTTTCTATTGTCCGTTGAAACTTCGCAATTTAATTTCAATCTTCCCTTCGCGCCACTGCGCTCGTTGAATTTTCCTTGAATCTTCGGGCAACCTGATGGTAGAGAGGTAAGTCGTAATTGGGAAACCTGTTGATAAACTGGAACCCTATAAAGGCAATATTACAGTGACATCTCTGAGAGAACGAACGAATATATACCAGTGATTATAAAAGTGCCCTAAGCCATAGATGAAATATTGAAAGTTTCGCATTTTAAATATATCATAAATTGGAAAAGTTAATTATGACAAAGGTACAAACTCGATTCAGCGGTTTCATTCTTTGTTATTTTGCCAAATGTGGTTCTATTTTGTTATGTAAACGAATGCAATATAAGGTAAACGATAAAATTATTTCTTCTGAATAACATTAAATCGCTCTCACAATTATCGGTAGAATTTTGCTAATGAGAGTCACGTCTTGAGGGCAAAGAGTTAAGGGGAATGAACTTTTAAACTCGTTTGGTTTGACAATCTTTTTCTTGAATTTGTTTAATGAATTAATTTGATTTCTTGCTTTTTTATTATTATAGGTACAATAAATCGTGAATTACGTTAGAATGATGATGGTAAATTGTTGTTAGGAATAAGTTGACTAATTGCTAACAACTTATCAGAAATGTGTGCCGTACCGTGAAAAAAGTTGCTGTATAAAATCACTGATTATTACCTTTTTTAGGTTAGTACAAACAAATATTTAAAAATGACCCAGTTTTAATTTCCTAGATTGAAACCGTCCCTTAAAAACTTTATATCAAATTACAGATTATCTTTTTAACCAAAAAGTGGAAATACTTGGTTTTGCTCGTCTAGAAAGATTTTTAAGGTAAATTTTATTCATTTTTTTTCTGTAATTAACTGATTAAACTAATTGACTAATGTCATATGTTATCTACAAGGATATAATTAGTCATAAGATTGAGTTCTAAAATATTATATTTAATTATTTAAAAATACCACTCCCGTGCCATGATTTTTAGGTTAATATAAAAAAAGGCGAGAAATCAATTTTATAAAAAAATTATAATTTCTGTGAAAAGAAATTTATATTATTCGTTTTGTATTGTTTCTTTACTTTTTGTTCATAATTTCAAATTCTTTATTATTTTTTGGTTAAAATAATTAAAAAATGTATAGGTAATTATAATAAGTATAGGGAAAAATGCAATATCTGTCAACAGCTCGTTTTGGTTTGTTTTCCTCGAAAATAAGAAAGGGATTCATATTTTCACCTTCTCATTTAGAATTATTCAAAATTAAGTCGATATTTATTATAATTTCAGGACATAATTAAATAAGTGAAAGAAGATATCAATTAACCAATCTTACATGCCAAAGAATTTATTATATTTACAACTTACAATCGCTCTATGTAAGCTATACAAGTAACCCTACACACTTATACGTGAAAATGTGTAATATATAAAAATAGCAGTGTCATTCTTTCCATATACCACATATTTGGAATTAATAGTAAAAGTGATTAGAAGTGGATGACGAAGAAATTAGTTAAAATTTATATAAATATAAATAAATATAAATTAAATATAAGTAAAGTCATACTTTCTTTCAAAAGTAATCAATGCCTCCAAAAGTGTCATTAGTATGATATATCAAAGTGATTAGTATGATGTATGTAAAACTTAATTCAGAATAATAGCATGTGTACTTATGACCTATATACTATTATTATATACTCATGAGCAAAATAATATTTACAATTTCCAGATTAAACATGCCATAGCAATTCAATGGTAATTAAACAATACATAAATAATATTTAAATAGTTATTAAATAAATTTGAAAACAATTATTTCTAATTATTTATTAATAATTATTAAATCATTTCAGACGTAAACATTTAACATTGCATATGAAGAAAGCAATTATTTTCCTCAAAATCAAGTAACAAGTAGCCGTTATTAATAACGAACAATTTACTTCGTGAACTGACAAATTAATCATCTCATTGCAACTGCATTGATTTACTTTACATGCTACTTTACGAAATATCTCTGTAAGATCAACAATAAATAATTCCTCAAATAAATAATTCTTCAAATAAAATAATTTACAAAATAATTCTACAATTATTTCAAATAATTTCAGGTAATGAAATTTGAAAATTCTGCAAAACACCCAGATCTGCCATTTACTGATGCTGTCTTTTGGCATCATTTAAACATTTGTCGTATCAATTATTAACTATCTAGATCGATATGACTATTCGATGCCTATAAGATTCTGTTCTAGTAATGCAGTCAGGGTATTGCCAATTACAAAGTGCTCTAGAGTAAGAGGAGTCAAGTAGTTTGAATCAGAGGATATAGGACCAAATGGTTGGAAGTTAAGACAGATTCAACTTGCATACATTGTGTACGCAATTTTCGAAGCGTAATCATTGACCGTCAATAACACACTTTATACATCATTTAACTAACTCGACACTCTTCTCTCGAAACTCATCAAAATATTAGAGGAAAGATCGACAACGTCGGGTATTTTTAAGTGTTCTCTACTTAAAGCATCGTACAAGATATCGAAGGAACGAATAATTTTGAATTTTGAATTTAAATTTTGAATTACATATTTAGAGGTCGGATTTGAAGGAATGAACTTGAATAATATTGCGAATTCTTAATAGAACACAATAAGCGTTATTGATAAAATTTCCAATTAATGTAATAAGAAAAATAATTATGCAACGCTTTAACAACTTTCTTACAACCGACTTCTAAGACTTCTGCTGACTGCAAACTGACTTTCAATACCTTTGATTTTAAAACTGATTTCTACTACTGACTCTCAAACTCTGAAAACACACTGACTTGCTGCATCCTCGTACCCTTATTTTAACCTTGCACTCTGTCTTCTTTCATCTCTCTCAGGCTTTCTTACTCAATCGCACATTTCCCACGCGACCTCGGTGAATCTGTTACTTCCAACATTCAGGATGCATTCCTAAACTTTCACTCGTTTCTCGCACTCGACCCTGCCATAAACATCCCTTATACTCAATCCTCTTGCACGTGGTCACTTTCGTCTTATGTCTCAAAAACTCAACATTCTTTGAATCCTATATATGTAGGATCGGTTTGGGTGGATCGGCTAAAGTAGCGTTGCTTTACTTCTTAATAAAATACAATAAGCTTATACATAGACTTTGACTTCTTACCGACATACTCTTAGACGCTAACTTAAGAACTTTTAAAGACTGGACACCGTAGACTGTTCATGACTCTAGACTGTAGACCGTGGAGACTGGGCTGGCCGCGCCCTTGCACCCTTATTTCACTCTGAACGCATCCCTAAACTTTTGCTCGACCCTACCATAAACATTCTTTACAGTTAATTCGCTCGCACGCGGTCGCTTCTCCATCCTAAGCCCAAACACACTTGGCATTCTTTCAGGGCCGTACTTATTCCAATCCCACATGTATATGACATAAATCGAAATGTAATATATGTAGGATGCTAGGATGTGAGAGTGAGTGCAAGGAAACAGTTGCTGAGCATTCTTCCCTGAAGAAATGTAGGAATAGTTTGAGAGTTAATGCAAAGGAACGCTTGAGTCTACCTGGCTGATGATGGATAATAAACAGCAGTCTCGAGTTCAGATCGAATGTTCAGGTTGATATCTGGAGTGCACGTGGAAGGACAAGTGACTACATGCAAGAATTGTATGGATGGGATGTTTATTAGTAATAAAGAAAGAAAGCCTGTGTGGAAAGAAGAGAGACTGCTAGGTTTAACCCTTTGCACTTCAGAGGAGCCCTTTAGTCGCCATTTGATAAAATTTCGAAGCTCGATATTAATTAATATATCAAATTTAAAATAATGTAACATTGTACGAGAAATCAAAATTAAATAATTCTACGTGTTAATTATTATACGATTTCTCATTTACTGCTCAAAAAATATCATCAGCGTTATAGCAGAAAATTTTTCAGCTCGTACCCTTCTTTAGCCAAAAAGTCGTCGAGCGCAAAGGGTTAAATAAGGGTACAAGGGCTGTCTTGAGACAGTCATAGATCAGTTATCAATCTAGTCTTTTAGTTTGTACTTTACTCCTAGTCTCATTTAGCTCGTAATAGATATATATTTTAGAATAAAATAACATCTCTTATTCTTCATATTTGCCAATCAAACAGTATCCCTACATGTATGGCAATACAGTAGAATGTCATTATATACAGTAAAAATGAAAAATTCGTCGACTATAAATGACTTTCAGGATGACTTACATATTTAACACTTTACCGACCGGAAGCCTATTAATCGGCTTTGGGGTACCATTGCTCAGTTGCGTTAGTTGCGTTGCTTTGTAAGCTCCTACATTGTTGGGGCCCTAGGACCGCATTGTTCCAGGTCAAGTGGAGGACTGTTTTATGTCCTTAGTGTCTGTTTTTTTTACAAATTTATCTGAGCATACGAAACGCACAGATGCTCCCGTGCGACAATCTAAACCGAAACAGAGCCAGCGCCAGGGAGAATCTGCGGCTGAGCGGCTGGTCGGAAGTACTTACTTATGCCGTTGAAGCGCTAGCGGTCGGTAAAGTGTTAACCCTTTGCACTCAAGAGGCACCTCTCAGTCACCATTTAATCAAATTCCAACGATGGATATTAATTAATATATCAAATTTGCAATTACCTAACGATGCGTGGAATATCGAAGTAAAATAATTCTACGTCTTAATTTCTATACGATTTCTTATTTATCGTTTTAAAATTATCGTCGACTTTATGGCAGAAAGTCTTCGAATTACTTTCTTCTTGTAACGAAAAAATCGTCGAGTGCAAA